GTGTTCTTTAAAACATATTTTATTGTGTTATTTTTTCTGTGGGTTGGACAGCGGTGCCACTGTTGTTGTTCTAATATATACATACATACATACATACATACATACATATACATATACATATACATATACATATACATATACATACATACACACACACACACACACACACACACACACATATATGTATGTGTGTGTGTGTGTGTGCGTGTGTGTGTGTGTATGTGTATGTATCACTCCCACCAATCTGAACAAATTCCAGGGTCAATTTTATTTTAGATGGTCTATGTTTGGGTTTGAATGGAAAGATGGGATGCAACTAGATTTTCTTTGTTCTTTTTTTCTTTGATTGTTGTTTCACTTCTCATCCAAGAAGCTTATTCCGTTTCTTTCTTTTTTTTCAAAGGAAAAAAAAACATTTTGCTTCTCAACCAACTGAAGAACTGAAGAAACTTCTTGGCTGAGAAGTGAAACATTTTCAAAGAAAAAAAAACAAGAAAGTCCAGTTGCCTTTTGGAGAAGCACTTTTGGGACAACCATGACCTGGATGACTGAGAATCTCCATAGACATAACCTCTATAAGTTAACCATTCCATGGATATATAGATATTGCCATCTAGATCAGGGGTCCCCAATCTTGGCAACTTTAAGACTTCAACTCTGCTGGCTGAGAAACTCTGGGAGTTGAAGTCCATAAGTCTTAAAGTTGCCCAGGTTGGGGACCCCTGATCTAGAGGGGTATGTCGATACGTGTGTGTGTGTGTGTGTGTGTGTGTGTGTGTGTTTAATACAGTGTATATTTAAATGAAATCTAGGTAGCTTCAAAATCTCCATGATTTTGAGTACTAGTTTCTATGGCAATGAAAAATAATTTCTGATCATCTTCCTTATGGCATTCCTTGATGAACACTGGCACATGCTATCAGGGAAGTTGAAAACCATCAGGGATCTCATCAAAGAAAGAATAACAAGATCCTCTCAGGCTTTATTAGGCCACCAGGAGACCAATCCTACATCCCACACCTGGGAATTTACTCCACTTCAGAAGCATGTGATCGTTTTGTGTTTCTGTGGGCATATATTTTTAAGGAACCAAAAAATGGGGTGGGGTGGGTGAAATCTAAAAACATCTCAGGGAGAAATGGAAATCATGGGATGGATGAACAAAGTGGGATAGCCCCAGGAAAGAGTCAAGCTGACCACGTAACCCTAAAGGGGACAATTTCAAGAAGCAGTTTCTATACAATGCTTCTCACAGAAAGTCCACACCAGGGGAGGGCTTCTATGAGTTCCCCTGGGTTCAGGAGAACCCGGAGCTAACGTTATGTCCGGTTTGTAGAACCCCCAAATCTCACCCCTGGCTGGCCCCGCCAACCCCGCAATGTCCCTTCCCAGGAATCTCCAGGCAGCCTGTTTTGGATGCGAGGTGAGTGCAGAAAGTGGGCCTCCTGGAAGCTCTAGAAGGCTGGAAACGGGCCTGTTTCCAGCTTCCGGAGGGCCTCCAGAGCCTGGGGGAGGCCATTTTCTCCCTCCCGGAAGTTCAAGAAAAGCCTCCGGAGCCAGGGGAGGGCAAAAACGGACACCTCACACACCCTCGCCATGGTGCAGGAGGCTGACTAGGCCACGCCCACCATGGTCACGCCCACCTAGCAACTGGGCAGAGAACCAGTTGCTGGATGCTGAAAATTTTGAAGCCCATCCCTGATCCACAGACATATTTGTTGAAAACATTTTTCTTCATCCAACAAAGCTTCCAGAGAAACTAGAGAGGAGGACAATTGTTGCCAGTAGGTTTACAGCCTAAAAGACCTGATATAAAAAGAAATACATAGAATGACCATGTAGAAATAGTTCAGGAAGCAAGGAGGCTGATGGCTCTGGTCTTCCAGCAGACCCTCATTTCCTATGTTGTCGTCTCCTCGTGTTTCTTGGTGGAATGATCTGCCCAAAACCTTTTCCTAGGAAAAGGGAGGAATCCCAGTTATTCATCTTTTCTGACCTCTTCACTATCCTGGTGTCCCAAGGGATACACCCCTGAAATGAAGTAGATTAGAAACGCTTTCTGCCCCCCTCAAGACTTGAGAAGAAGTGGAGGCCATATCCCACAAGGACAACTTTATTCCCTGAAGAGAAGAACCCATTGCATTATGAAGTCCACTCCATCATTTCTGTTTCCAAGCTGAACATCCTGTTGTTCTGAATCAAGAACTCTCCAATATTGTAACTGATTTGGAAGCGGTTTCATAGGGAGTGCAAATCCACAGTGTGAAGGCCCACAAGCAGTTCTAACACTTAAACTTTTGAATTGTAACCTGTCCTCCCCACTGCCACCCGTTTTGTCATGCCCCTGTCAGAATCTGATTCTGAGGGGGAGACCGAGCAGCTGACAGGGAGTGGGAGTGTGGCTCCATTGGCTGTGGAAGAAACTGGGGAAGGGCAAAGTCCTGCTGGGCAGAGCAGGGGAGAGTAGAGAAAGCAGAGGGAATTTAGAGGAAGACTCAGGGCCACCCGCTCTTCATCCTAGGGCACGCAGGGAGGAACAGAGAAGGAAGCAACATGAGTTGCATGGCTTATGGGGGAGGAAAAGGTCCTGATTCCCTTTATTAGCTGCAGCTGGGAACACAGTGTTTAAAAAGGGAAGCTACGCTCAGCAAAGTTGTTGGAAGTAAATCGTGAGTTATTTGTTATTGCCGAGGCTTATCTGGGTTCCTGGCATCTTCCCAACTGTATGTGTTTTGTTGGCCTTTGAAGTCTGCAATTCCTTATCCTGCCCTGTCCAGTTAATTGCTGCAGCATGGTTTGTGTGGATTTTTATTTACAGTTTGTATGTACTTTGTTTTCGGACTGAATTTCCTCCACTTAAAGACTGTTCTTGGGAGAGTTTTTTCTCCAGCCGAAGGTAACCTGGACATTGGGGGCAAAGTTGGAGGTATTAAAGGGACTTGTCTTACTTATTTGACTGTGTTGCCTTTGTGCCACGCCCTGGGTCATCACACCTTTCTACAGGTAGTCCTCGGCTTACAACCATAAGTTTAGTGACCATTTGAAGTTACAATAGTACTGGAAAAGGGGACTTTTTATCATTTTTCACCCTTATGACCATTACAGCTCTCACTGAACAACTGTCTCACTTAGCAATAAAAACTCTAGGCTCAGTTGTGGTTAAAAGTTGAGGATTACCTGTACAGAATAACCTGCCATGGGGGTGTGCATCAGATATTTTTGTAATAGAAAGTGATGATCTAAAATGCTTTTACAATTCAAGTTTTCAGTGCTCTGAATTCAGAGAGAAATGGCTCTCTTCTGGCATTCATTTCTTTAAAAACAAATCATGTTCCCAAAATAGAAATATTAATGAGGGAGGCTAGCAGCTTTTCCAAGTGTGATTAAGTTTGTTTTATTTTTTTAAAGCCAGTCTCTTGTGGTGGGCATTCTAAGATGGCAACCATTCATTAGTTGTTTTTATTTGGGTTGTTTTTAACCGTGGCTTTTGAGAATGGTTTTCCACAAAGCCTAGCTAGTAAGTCAGAGATGTGCAGAAATGATCCAGATTCAGCGTATTCCCATCAGAAAGAGGTAAAATTCCACTGAGGGAAAAATGCTGGCAATTTGCTAGCAATACTACAGTCTCTACCTTTTCATAGGGCAAAAATCTAGATGAGGGAGCTGGGGAGTGGATGGAAATAATGATCGGGAGTTCAGAGGTCACTTCAAATAAAGCAACACGATGCAGCTAGTGTCGAAATCCTTAGCAACAAGATTGTGAGGTAAAACCTATAATTGTTGTGTGGTTCTTGGGCTGGAGTTTTTTTTTTTTTTTCTTGTTGAATATCCTGAGGGAAGATTCTTAGACTCATCTGCTTCTCATAGGCTTTATTTCACAGTTTAGACTCCATCATTCACCTTAATGTTTGGTGTCATTGGAAATTAGTGGAAAAGCATCTTGGAATGACTCCTCTAAGCTCTAGCGCTTTATGTATGGAACTGGTGAGATCCTGAGATGGCCATGTCAGGAATAGACTTCAAAAAAGGGATATCGTTCTATAAAAACACCCAGGCAAACCAACAATCAAAAGGTCCACTTAGTAGACCAGAAGAAAACACTCTAGTTCAACCTCAAAGGTGCTTTTTCAAGAAGCAACTGGACTTTCTGGTTTTTCTTTGAAGACGTTTTGCTTCTCATCTAAGAATGAAGAACTAACTAAGCTTCTTAAGGATGAGAAGCGAAACACCTTCAAAGAAAAGCTAGAGAGTTCAGGTGCTCCTTGAAAAAGCACCTGTGGGTCAACCATGACCTGGATGACTGAGAATCTCCATAGACACTCTAGTTCAGTGTTTCTCAACCTGGACCGGTTTCTAAAGTGTGGACTTCCAGAATTCCTCAGCCAGCCGATTGTCCCCAATAGAAATATTTCCTTGAAGGAAATAACCTAAATTCTCTGCAGCCTAAACAGCATCCCTGTCTTGGGTTACCTAAACAGTTTTGTCTTGTCTGAACACATTTAGGTGACATGTAGTTTTCTCCTTGGTGAAAACAGTGGATATTTGTTTCTCTCAGATGATTTCAGACAATACTCATAACATGTCATACTCTATTACTGTAGTAAATGCAGGTAGTCCTCAACTTATGATCACAGTTAAGCCCAAAATTTATGTTGCTAAGTGAGAAATTTGTTAGGTGAGTTTTTTTGCCCCATTTTACGACGTTTCTTGCCACATTTGTTAAGTGTAAATGGCTTTTCCCACTGACTTTGCTTGTCAAAAGGTCACAAAAGGTGATCACATGATCCTGGGAAACTGCAGCCGTCATAAATATGAACCAGTTGTCAAGCATCCGAATGCAAATCATATGACCCTAGGGATACTGCAATGGTCATAAGTATGAAAAATGGTCTTAAGTCGCCTTTTTCAGTGCTATTGTAACTTCGAAATGGTCACTAAATGAACGGCTATAACTCGAGGACTTTCTATAACCATTGCTTGTATTTCTTTTGCCCTTGCAGGACTATCTTCTGCTGTCTTGGAAGTGGAGGTTGGACAGACTTCAGTGACCGTGATCCAAGGACAGCAGGCCATACTTCCCGTCTGGTATACGTCCGCCAGTTCAAGCGTCCCCTTTGTCACCTGGCACAGGGAGAGACCCGGGGAGCGTTTTCAGGTATTGCCTCACTTTGCCAAGACTGGGGGAAAAAAATCCAATGTCTGCTCTTGTTTCTAGAAACTGGCAATTAAAATAGGCTTCTAAAAACAGTTTTGAGTGTTGAGCGGAGTTTAGCAACCCAGTCAACTCATCAATGGCCCAACAGTACAGATAAGACGTAAAGGCAGTGATTTGAAGGCTCCATCTGACTGAAAGAGACATTTCAGTGGTGGTATATGACCGGTTCGGTCTGGTTTGACTGAACCGGTAGTAAAAAAAAAAAAAAGCCTTCTACAATCAGCTGAAAGGAGGACGACATCAACTGAGAGGAGGAAGAAGAGAAAAGAGCAGGATCGACCCTACCACACACACACTGCACCCTTTTCTCTTCTTTATCCTCCCAGCTGATTGGCACTGCAGGCCTCGGCTGGTGTGTGGAAAGCTGCACGGGCATGTTAGGGCCGCTTGCGTTAGGTGGGTATGTTTTAGGTGCGCACATACGCACGATCCCTGAACCAGTAATGGAACAGGTAGGATCCCACTGCTGAGACATTTGTAGATTTCTTGAATGGATTGGTTTGAGTTCTATGCGATAATCCACAATAAGCATTTAAAAAACCTCCTCCTTTCCATATGGGCTCCAAACTACGCCCTTTAACGGCCATAGCAACGGATCCCATGGTGAGGTTCTCTGTGTGAGCTGAGATCTTGGGCCACCTGGGGACAGGGAGAAAGTCTACCCCTGTGTGATGATCTCCTTGTAACACCCCCCCCCCTCTTGATCTCAACTGTGGTCATAAGTTGAGGAACGTCAGTATCCTACTGGGAAGAAGACTAGGGCTAGCAGAACTAAGTGGCAAGAATCACGGTGGCCACTAGAGGACAGCAGACTACAAGGGATTTCTATATCTCTTTGGTGCTCTCTAGTAGTTACAGGTAGTCCTCGACTTACAACAGTTTGTTTAGCGACTGTTCAAAGTTACAGCGGCACTGACAAAAGTGGCTTATGACCATTTTTCACACTTACGACCATTGCAGCCCCCCCCTTCCATGATCACGTGCTCAAAATTCAGATGCTAGGCAACTGACTCATATTTATGACGGTTGCATTGTCCCTGTCATGCCCCTGGTGGAGTCAGACTCTGAGGGAGAGGAGGAACAGCTGACAGGGTAGTGGAGTTTGTGGCTCCAAAGGTTGTGGAGGAGGCTGGGGAAGGGCAGAGGCCAGCTGAGCAGTCAGAGGAGGACCCAGGCGCATCCCCTCTCCATCCTAGGGCATGCAGGGAAGAGAGGATAAGGGAGAGAAGTGGTCTACTCGGGAGAAGAGGGCCTTGATCCTCTTCATGGGCTGCAGCTGTGACAACTGAATAAGAGGACGGACCTGCGTACAGGCGAACACTGGAAGCAAAGCATGGAAATATCTCTAGTTTATGGTTCCTCTCTCGAGTTTGGCGTCTTTCCCAGTGTGTGTTCTGTTATCTGTGGACATCCTCCAGCCCTTATCTTGCCTGGCTTGTGTTGCTTTTTCCCTTCTTTTTGTAACTGTTTATGTGGGAGTTTTTTTTGGCTTCCCTCAAGAATATTCGGAGCTTGGAAGCAAATTGAAGGAATAAAAGGGGCTTCACCTGTTTTCTGTGACTATGTGTTTTCTGTATCCCACCCTGGGTCATCACAGTCCCGGGATCACTTTGCGACCTTCTGACAAGCAAAGTGTCAACTCATAAAATATTTCTATGGTCTTTTTAAAGTTGCCAACAGAAAGGGAGGGGAGAAAGGGGTTTGAAAGAGCAGTGTGGCAGCTTGGAAATCGAAAGTGCATTCCATAAATAGATTTTCAGAGATAGTAACTAGGTGACGGAAGTTTCTGCCACACAAAATTCTAACTGGAGAACATGATTGATGACTCTTGGCTATGGATGTGTCCCATTGGAGAATATGAATTACGATACACCCAGGAGGGGCTGGGGGGGGGGAACCAGGATCAAGGGTGACAATTATGTGCCCCAGGCAGTGCCGGACATGTTAACTCCTTTTGAAGTTTTGGACGTTTGGCTCGAGACTCATGATTTAATTGAGGTAACTGCCGGAATCCTGACACAAAGTCAATAGGGAAGCCAGATTCACTTAACAACCGGGTGACTAACTTAACAACTGCAATGATTCACTTAATAACAACTTGTAAAATGGGGCAAAGTCACTTAACAAATGTTTCACTTAGCAACAGACATTTTGAGCTCAGTTGTGGCTGTAAGTGGAGGACTAGTAAGGACTAGTATTTGGACTTTTGCAACCCAGATGCCTTAGCCCAATTTGTCCCCCTGGGTCAAAAACTCTTGTGAGTCAAACAACGCCAGAACTAAAACACATAGCAAACTTCAGATGGAAATGTGTAATATTGATGGGAAATCTTCCTTAAAGGCAAGCTGTTTTTTAAATGTAAAAATAGATGACATCTCCTCCTCAATCATTGATTAATGCCATGCCAAGATAAATAAACAGAATTATGATGGGGATGTCAGTACAGTCCACATATATAGGAAAATGTCAGTCTGCTTAAGTCTTCCCCACATTTAGGTTTGGTTCACTGAAATTCTTAGAGTTATTCAGTGACCGTTAAGTCTATCTAATGTTAAGGCTGTTTAATTTTTTTTTTTAAATTTCATTTTTACTTTATTTTTACTTTTTTCCCCCCAGTTGGGATGCATCCCAATTCTGTCAAGCTTCCAGACTCTGCATCTAAATCAGAGGGGGAAAAAATCAACATAAAAAAATCAAGAGGCTTAAAGTATCTTTCTAACAAAAAAAAACAAAAACAAAAAACAAACCACCCACGAGAGCTATAAAGCACGCTTGGGCATCTTCTCCTAATTGACATGTCTTCTTTTTAGAAGGATATAGACATTGGCAGCTGGGGACACTTCAGAAACCAATGTGTTCTGTTTATGGGGAGGATGAACTGGGGAAAGCACTATGCCACTATGATTTGAAGTTCATTGCTCAACAGTGAATCTCTTTCCCTTCAAATCTGGGTGGGCCTTTTCGGGATAGGAGAGTTTCCCCATTTTTACATGCTCGGCTTGCCTGTGCCACTTGAGTGTTTCTCAGAGCACTTTGCAGCCTGTAACACGTGTGGACCCTGAAGTCTGATGAAGGCAGAGAAAGCAAGCATTATCCCCCCATGTTAGAGAGCTGGGTGGGTAAAATGGTAAAATGGAAGCATGCTGCCAACAGATTCAGAAATTAAGAGCCTCTATATGCAAGTGGGAGTTGCACAACCATCTTAAAAAAATTTGGGGGGGTGATATGAGGGCGGTCAGGGGCACGGAAGCGATGGCAGCACTGCTCTGGCAAGGCTGGGCATTTGGTGGAGAAGAGAGAAGGCTCGTTTTAAGGGGCGAAGTAAATGCATTCAATTTTATGTGAGATGAAGGAATACTGAAGGAATACCTTGGCTTACAGCCACAACTGAGCTCAACATTCTCCTTGCTACGCAAGACAATTAAGTGAAATTTGTCCCATTTTATGACTTCTCTTGCCTCCGTTGTTAAGTGAATCTAGCCCCCCCCTTTCACTGTGCTTGTCAGAAGGTTGTAAAAGGTGATCACATGACCCCAGGACACTGCAACCTTTTGCCAAGCGCCCGGATTTGGATCGCATGACCATGGGGATGTTGCAACAGTCGTAAGTGTGAAAAACAATTATCAGTCACTTCTTTCAGTGCTGTTGTAACTTTGAACAGTCACTAAGCAAATGGCTGTAAGTCAAGGACTACGTGTATTTTACCCCAAATGACGGAAAGGGAGAAATCACGCAGACAAAATTCATAACTTTTGCCATGAAGTTTGGCTGCTTAAGTCCCCAGGGAGCATAAAATAAAGATTAGGAAGGGTATAGATGTCTTGTCTACCATAGGGGATGCTCATGCACTTATGCGTACAGGCAGAGGCCTCTCATATCATGCTGAAATCTTGAACTGTTTGACGCCGTTGCTATGCCTACCGAGCATCATCCATTTGATGTGCTAGACTTATCACTGCTTTGTGTGCGGAATGAGCCATGCAAGCGGAAGAGGTGCTAAGTAGCACTGACACCTTTGTGTCTCATTGAAAAAGATAGGAAGGCAGGAAGGAGGGCTGAGAGCCAGGCTGAAGAACCAAGCTTCTACAGGTTGCTTCTTCGGGAAGATGCTGGAACAGAGTTCTTCAACCATGGCAACTTTTAAGATGTGTGGACTTCAATTCCCACAGATATGGAGAGGTCCAGGAACATGAAGTTTTCTCAACCGTGGCGATTTCAAGTTGTGTGGACTTCCCCAGCCGGCATTGCTAGAATCCTGGGAGTTGAAGACCACTCATCTTAAAATGCCAAGGGTGAAAAATACTGTGCAGGAGATTCCTTGGAATTTGATACAGCATTCAAAGGAGGGGACAGTGAATGGACAATAAGTTGGGCACTACTATTGTTTTGAAGTTCTCCCCTTTAGAAACTTGAGCTCCGGAGCAATTCCTTGATGGACTCTTCCCACCTGTAACATGTTGTCTGTGTAGAAGGGCACATCAGTGATATCCCTCCACTCTGCATTCTTCTTCACTTAGAAATGTAAACCATAATTTCTGTTTTCTGGATGGACAGAAGTGCATGCAAGGGGCTAATTCAGTCTATCAATGCATATTTTCTCCACCCCCAAAATAACTAGAGCAATTAAAGAAGGGGTATTTTAAGAATCTTGGACAACCTCTGTTTTTTCACACATGCACCTCATTCCAGCTTTTGATTAATGCCCATTAGTTTTCTTTTGCAAAGGGGGCTACTTTGCAGCAGATGTTCTACGAGAACTTCCATAATTTCATTAGCCATTGCTGTTCAAAACATTTGTAGAATCCTATTGCCTGTTGCTGGAGTAAAAATTTTGCAATAAGCAGGTCTCAATTCATTGAGGTAGACAAGGTCAAGAACTTTGTGATCTATTCACAAAACCTTTCCACTCCTTTAAAAAGAAAAAAAAAAGGTTTGCTTATTCCCAGGGTGGAGTCTACATACCTTGACAGCAGGTTTAGGGTCTGGCTGCAATCCTGTGAAGGTTTTGCTGCCTTCGCTGCAATCTTTTGCCCCTTAGTCAGATCTTTGTAATTGTTAGTTTTCAGATGCTTTATGAAGAAAGGGATCCTACTGGTGATGAAGGGGAAAGAAGCATCTTTTGTTACCATGGCAACCAAGCTCTGCTAGAGCATCGAAGCCAACTTTTCCTCCCCTGGTGGCTTTAGTTCATTACAATGCATGTCAAGACACAGATTCTGCAGTGGATTCATTTGAACCTTTCGGACCAGGATGAGTTAGATTGAAACATCCCATCTGAAGGCAAACGTGGCTTCTTCTCTCACTTGCAGAAGACCAAAATGAAGTCTTTGGACTGCACTGCTATTGCTGTCCTTGGCCCCCAGGTTGTGTAGGACTGATTGAAACAGGGGAAAGAAATGGCTGTATTTTAAAAAACTTTAAAATGATGGTAAAGATACAGTAGAAGAATCAGCGGGAGGAAAGGGGTGAAAAATGAGTGTTACAGCCCAGAATGTCTCTGCTTCAGAAATGGTAGGAAAAAGGTCGGTATGTTTATGCCAATGTTTCTCAAACTCAGCAGCTTTAAGGATGGGTGGACCACACAGGTGAAAGAATGGCCAATATCGGTTTATACAGAGAAAGAGGCCAAGTTGTAGGGTGCTCTTCAACCTTGGCAACTTGGACTTCAATCTGGACTTCAACTGTCAGAATTCCTCAGCCAACCATGCTGGTTGGGGATTTCTGGGAGTTGAAATCCAAACAATGTAAAGCTGCCAAATGGGAGAGAATAATTGGTCTGTTCTATGCATGCAGTTGTATGCATCCTTCATAGGTGTGTATTCAGACAAGTTTCATGTTGTGCGCCGTGTTTCATAGCAGCACACTGCTGTTTCAGCCAAAGCACTGAATCCTTTGATCTGTGTTCCAGATTCTGGCCTTTATGTATGAGACAACCAAAGTGGAAGACCCTGATCTCAAGCAGCGCCTTGGGTTTTTGTTCCGTATGCCTTTTCACAACGTCTCCCTTGTAATTAATAATACCAAAGAAATGGATTCCGGCCAATATATGTGCACCGTGAATGTTCCGGATGACAGTACAGTGAAAGGAAGAAACATCGGACTTGTTAACCTCACCGTTCTAGGTAAATCAACTTTATTCTGCTTTGCAGAGGTTAGATGGGGAGATGTGATCTTGGATCACTTAGAACACTTCATGTTCATGCAGGTAGCCTTTGAGTTATGATGGGTCACTTTTAGCAACCATTCAAAGTTGAAATGAACCTCCCACTCTGTTCTGTCCTAGGCCTCCCCAAAAAGCACTAAGTCAATTCTGCGTCCTGGCAAAAACCTATTTTATTACATTAATGTGAATTTATTTCATTCACAGTCAGCCAACGGCTTGTGAAGGTATACTAATGAGCTCAGACCTTTATCAATCCTGGAACGCTGCCTGATAAATAGTTCCATGCTCAATGCTGGCAGGGAAGGGCTGGGTTATACAGACAAATCTCCACAAACAAATGACCGAACAAGCGTGTCGTTTCCTGCAAAAGCCCCCTCCCCTTTTGCTTCTCTTTTAATCCTGATGGATTAAATCCTAATCATCATTCACCTGTGGCCTTACTCCCACGTCAATCCTGAGTTCTTAATTGTGCCTTCCTTTTGGCAGCTCTGCGCATGCACAGAAGAAGCTCTCCTGTCTCACTGCTGTCCGAGCCCGAAGGCAGCTGATGACTGCCACCTACCCTGGCCCCATCTCTGCCTCTGATGCAGAGCCCATGTCCAAGCCTTCCTCAGCCTCCAGGAATGGCCGGGTTCCTCCCCAGCCTCCTCACTACTGTCCGACTCTGCTGCCAGCTCCATCATCTGCCGGCGGGCCACAACACACTCCTTATGATGAAGTTCTGATAGATGCCCTCCCCCATGGTCACCTGACTGTATTTTGGGTTCTTGGCAACCAGCCTGCAGTTTATGATCATTTGTAGCATCCCACAGTCCCATGACTGTGATTTATAATATTTTTGCTTTTCTGGTTTCCAACAAAAACCATCCCTTAGCATCAATGGGTTCAGTTTGTGACCTCAGGATAAATTGACTTCAGTTTGACTCCTTCACCCCACAACAAAGGTCAAAAAATTGAGTCAGTCACATGATGACCTGTTTTACAACCACCATGACTTCTGGCCATAATTGCAGCATCAATTATGGTTGTCAGTTAAGTTGGATGCATCAGGAAAAGATGGTTGCAAATCTTTTGATTTCTGCACCATACAGTTGAGTTTGGCAATCTAGCAGTTCGTTCTTTAGTTCAGCAGCCTCGTAATTCTGCAGAGCTGCATAGCAGTTTCCAAGGAGCACCCAAGTTTCAGCTCATGAGCTGTTTCAAAATAGTCCTGTTGGGTTCAAAAGTTCAGATTCACACGTGAAAGTCCACTTAAACTGATTTATTGCTATTCATGCCTGGGCACAGGAATCTTCTCAAATAACGGTTAACAGCTGCTAAGAGTTGGATAAGGGTCAATGGAATTCAAAGGAGGCTGGACTTAGTTTGCTTATGACTATGTAGGGATTCTAGGCTGATTCCTCTTTTAACTCCACCTGCAGGTTTTGCCCCTCCTTCCCCTACAATTCCCATGGGATAGAATCTAGAAGGCGTGATTCTCCTTCTTTATGTTTTGTCCAAAGTGAGCACTGAAACTTCGGGAACCCCTTTCCTGCTGATATTAATCCAAGTTCAAAAAGATACCTCAAGAGAGCCAAAGATAGAATGGGGTCATATCTGAACCCCAATATTTTAATAGCACAAAGAAAGATCAAAATCAAAAGTTGTTTCTTGCTACAGGTGACATTAACAACCACCTCCTTGATGCATCCGTTAATATATAACATCCCTCCATATTTGGACTTCTGCAACAGGCTAACATCATCTCTTCCCCTTTGAAAGTGGGTGGAATCCCTGAACGGATTCTTCTTCTCCCAGCTTTCACTAGAACGCCAATAGTTTTTTACAGCCAGTAGATGGAGCCATTTATTACCTTTTAAAGCATTGAATGGTTTTTGTATTTTCTTTAATAAAAAAAGAGACCTCATTATTTTTGCAGTCCCACCATCTGCACCAAAGTGTCAGTTTCGAGGCAGTGCACAGGTTGGAGGCAACGTTACCATGTCCTGCAAATCTGCTTTTGGAAAACCGGTCCCAGTTTATCGTTGGCAGCGGACTGAGCCCAGCACCCAGTTTTTCTTTGCACCCACGCAAGGTAGGAGTACTTTGCTCTGTAGTCCAGCACAGCTTGGACAGGGCAGGTTGGACATGGCTGTGGTTTTGGTGAAGAGGGGAGAAGTCCCCATGTATCTTTTGGGTCTGCTTTGCAAAACGAAAGGGAAGATTAGTCAAGGATGGAGTTTGATTCAGTTCAATGTGCATTGAATTTAATCCAGAATTGAAGGTTGCATCACTCTCGGAATATTTCATATTCTTCTTCATTCGCCTTTAGAATTACCATTTGCTGAAAACTTCTGAATGAAGCTCCAGGGGAGGAAGCAAGTTTTTGGGTGACACTTTAGACCAGGGGTCTCCAACCTTGGCAACTTTAAGACTTGTGGACTTCAACTCCCAGAGTTCCTCAGCCAGCAAACTGGCTGAGGAATTCTGAGAGTTGAAATCCACAAGTCTTAAAATTGCCAAGGTTGGAGACCCCTGCTTTAGATTCAAGTTCTACTAGGGTTTCTCAACCTTGGCCACCTGAAGACATGTGGACTTCAACTCCCAGCATTCCCCAGACAGCATGGGACTCTGGGAGTTGAGGTCCACCTGTCTTCAGATTGCCAAAGTTAAGGAGTACTATTCTACACCCTGGCTTAGTGTAATGGGAAAACTTGATTTAGGTGCTCAGTCAGGTCACTAAGAGAGAGCTAATGGGATCCTCTTGAAATGCAGTTCTGTTGGTCTGAAGCTTGCTTGGCATTTTTTCCCAGATACCAAGAAGGGGATGCTGACGTTGACCAATCTTACTATCGACATGTCTGGGCTGTATCTCTGCAACGCCTCCAGCATAGCTGGCTATTCCAACTGCACACTCAATCTGGAAGTACATCCACGTGAGTCTCTCCTTGACAGCTCAAGATCTCCCTCTACTCTGCTTCCATTTACATGGGAACTTTGAGGAGCAAGAGAAGGTCGAAATAAATAAAAATATCACCATTGCAATCAGCTGTATCCTTAAAAACAGCCTCCCACTTCCATTTGAAATAAAACTCCCTTCGGTATCAAATTTTAGGAAAACGTGGAGTGTTTCCTTGGCCACTGTATTGAAGGTGGTCCACCTAGCTAGGAATCTGGAGTGAGGACTGTTCCATCTGGATTAAAAGATGCTGTTCATATTCCTGATAGAAATGTCTATCGTCTTAACAGTCTATTCATGCATCCGCAGCCAACGTGAAGTAGTGATCAGGGCATCCTTCCTCAACCTGCCTGCTCTCCAGGTTTCTGCAAGAAAAATATGGGCTTCCACTCCCAGAATTCCCCAGCCAACATTGCTAAGAACTGTCAGTGTTGGTCCACAGAGAGCATTTAGGACCATGATGGCCACCTATGGCACATGTGCCAGAGGTGGCATGCAGAGTCCTCTCTCTGGGCACATGAGCTGTTGCCCCAGCTCAGCTCCACTGTGCATGCGTGTATGCGCCTCCTGCTGGCCAGCTGGTCTTCGGATCTCTGCTGCACATGCAGGGGTGGGATTCAAATTTTTAACAATCGGTTCTGTGGGCATGGATTAGGTGGTGGGCATGGCTTGGTGGTCATGTTATTGGCTGGGCGTGGCCAACTCAATATCACTCACATCGAGGCACGCATCTCCTCGCCTGGCCCCTCATGACTGTGGGGATGCTGCAACAGTCGTAAGTTTGAAAAATGGTCATAAGTCACTTTTTTCAGTGCCATTGTAGCTTTGAATGGTCACTCCACACAAGCAAGGTACCAGCAAAGGAGGGGAAAAAACTGCAGAGACGTTCCTGAGACAGGAAGTCTAGTCCTGCCAAGAATGTAATAAGGGTTAACAGAAAAGCAGTTTCTGTAAGCAACACCAGAAAGTTTCCTTCCTGCCTTCCTTACAGGATTAGGCCAGTAATTTCTTCTAACAACCGGTTCTCCGAACTGCTTAGAATGTTAATAACCGGTTCTAGCGAATAGGTGTGAACTGGTAGAATCCCACCCCTGTGCACATGCGTGAGGCAGGGCGTGTATGGGGGTTGCGAGTGTATGCGTGGGGTTGGGGCCACACCCATGCACAGGGCCCAGGGGTCATATGTGGGGGTTGCGTATGCATGTGTAGGGGCAGGGATCACATACAGTCATGCAGCATGCATCGGGGACGGGACGCATGTGCGGGACATTGCATTTTGGGGATGTAAATGCATACGCGTGCTTTGGGCACTTGGTTAGCCATCACTGATTTAGGATAGGAAAAACCAAGGAGAACCATCTCATTTGTTCATGAAATGGTTTGAGCAGTCAATATTTCCCAGTCTAGTCTATTTCATAGTTGTTTATGATAACCATGGGGGAAAAAAAGACCTGTATAGCCTTTTTGGAAGTAAGGTTAACATCAATGATATATAAATACATGTTCACACAGAGATTGGGTCCAAAATATGTTGTGTTCGATGTGAACAGGTTAAAGAGATTTTAATTAGGATTAAGTAGACCCAAATGTCTAGAGAAGAGCCAGGAGGTTGGGAAACGTTGAGATAGGTCGGATTGCTGAAATCTTTTTTTCTCATCTCAGTTAAAAAAAACAAAAAACAAAACATCTTCACTGTTGTGGCTCCTTTTGCAGCATTCAATACAGCCATGGTGGCTGGTGCCGTCGTGGGGACCCTGGTTGGACTTGGCCTGATCATATTTTTTGCACTTCAGATGTTTATCTACCGAAAGAAAAAGAAGGAAGCCCAAGATGACATAGCCAATGAAATCAAGTAAGTAATGTAGAACGTCTGGCACTGATGATAGCAGAGGTAGGAAAGAGTGTCGACCATGTGTGGTTGGATTCGAAGTCCATCAACCTGACTCTCTCTATAGCCAATGACCAGGAATGGTAGGAATTGTTCCCTGGAGCATCTGGAAGAAATGTCTCAGCTAGACTTTGTGTTTGGATCATCTTCAATATTTTTTGTTGACTATGTGGCCTTTGGTCTAGGTGGTCTAGGTTTGGCTCTTTTCTTCCACATGTTTCATTGGCCAGCTAGGTAACATCCATGCTGTGCCAGGTAGCACTGATAACATCACCCACTTGGGTGATGAAATGTCTGCAAGAAAACAGCCAAGCTCAGAGAACACAAAGGACCTCAGGGTTTAACCCGAGCTACAAACATTCCTTTCTATTGGTTCTTTCTGACTAGTTTCAACAAGAAAACACTTTGTGTTGGTAAGATACCTGTACAACAGTAGAATGGTTAATCTATAGTGGTTGTGGGTTCTTTTTCTCTGAGGAGGCCCCTGGTTGAATTAGTTTTGTAGCACGGGTATAAATCCTTGCAAGACAAGACCCATTTAGATATTCTGTTGGATAGAAAACACAGTTTAAAATGTTGAATTTTGAAGATTTTGAAAGGACTTAAAAACATAAAAATCATAGATCAGTAAGGAAATGGAATATTGGGAAATAAGTTCATAGATCCCTATTTTCTCCTTCCCCACTGCAGGGAAGATGCTGTAGCTCCCAAGACGCTCTCCTGGGTGAAAAATTCCTGCACTGATGGACTCTCCAAAAATGGAACGTTGTCGTCCATGAACACAACCCGGGATCAGAAACCCTATCCCATCCGGGCCCCCTCAGACACAGCCTCCATCACCACTGCTGCAGGAAGCATGGTGGGCTTCAAGGCCCCTTTTTCTGACCCCAGAAATGGGACCCTCACACCAACACCCAGTCTTTCCAGCCAATCGCTGCCCCTCTACTTCCCACCGGTGATCAACGGAGTCCAGTGCCATCATGCCAGCGTGCCCACCCACAGGAATAACCTCCACCGGACAAACAGGGCTCAGCCACAGGCCCCCCAGCAACAGGAGCCTCCTGTCCCCACTGCTCAAGGTTTAACGGCCTCCACTCTGAATCGCATGGGAGCAGTGCCTGTTATGGTGCCTGCTCAAAGCCAGGCAGGATCTTTGGTGTAAATGGGTTGTAACGCCATAGCTCTCCATGTGGATATTGGTTTGACTCCTCACAAGCACTGTCGAGAGACAGGCATGCATTGTGCTGCTTCGCCGGCCTGTCTGCAGAGGTCCAGGGGTCTGTGTGTGTGTGGGGCTTGGATTTGTTCTTCAAGTGACCAAATGTCAAGACTTTGCCATAAGTGAGACCTTATCAGGACTTCTGAAAAGGACTTTAAAAAACATTTTGGTAATCAGAAGAGCTCTGTTTATCTGCCCATCTTATTCTTCTTGGTGCACCAACCCCATTCCATCTTCTCTGGGAATCTACTTAACAGAGACTACGTTTAACTGGATTTTTTTTTAAAGTTTGTTCTCTAACATGACTCTTAATGTTGAGGAAGAGAAGCAAGCTGTGGTTTACTCTCTTGGCTTAGAACAAGGGTCTTCAAACTTGGCAAGTTTAAGACTTATGGACTTCAATTCCCAGAATTCCTGAGCTAACATGACTGGAGAAGGAATTCTGGGAGTTGAAGTCCACAAGGCTGTCAAGTTTGAAGGCTTATAATAAGAGAAGGAGGCAGATCTGAAGCAAAATGGGTGATTCTATCTTCCTCAATACTTTTCAAGAAGTAGCCCATAATGGGAAACTCTTTGGACACTTTGGAAGGGAAGTAAAGATAATTGCAACCTACCTGACTCCATGTCAAAAGTCTACACCAGAGGTCTTCAAACTTGGCAACTTTAAGACTTGTGGACTTCAACGCCCAGAATTCCTCAGCCAGCATAAAGTTGCCAAGTTTGGAGACCTCTGGTCTACACATTAGAGAAATATGCACAAATAAAAAAGTGATAGAATCCTAGCTGCCACCCTCTGGGTAGATAATGTTTTTCAGCAATGGGTAATAGAAGCCAAGGTGGTAGAGTGACTTTCTTGTCATTCCTGTCTCCTTTTTCCACCTCCCCAGAAGACGCCACGCTTTGCAACAGAAAATTCCTATTTTTATAGGACCCTAAAATGCTTTCCTAAGGTAACATTTCATATTAATCCAAGTTAATCATATAATTCAGCACTGTCAGATGGCATAGTCCTTATTAAGCTGGAAACACACAGATTTGTAGCGGTTCTAGACTAGGACTTTCTATCCCACCATTCTTGTGCTGAAAATTTGGCATAGGGGGTTTCTTTTGTTTCATAGCATCCCTACAAGCCCACTTTTTGACGTAGTGGTCCTCTTTTGATTAATGTAGGGTATAACCCATGGAACTACAGACGTAGAATATGCTTTTCAGAAAGTGCTCACAAACCTGAGGAAGGCTAGAAAGCAAGTCAAGTTGAGGAAGGATTCTGCCTTGAATATTGTGTACAGGTAGTCCTTGACTTATGACCACAGTTGGGACTGGAACATCTGTTGCTAAATGAGAAATTGTTAGGTGAATCTCATCCAATTTAATGACCTTTTTTACCATGGTTGTTAAGGTGAATCACCTTGCTTATTAAGTAAATCACACAATTGTTAAGCAATCTGGGTTCCCCTAGTGACTTTACTTGTTGGAAGGCACCTGGGAAAGTCACAAATGCAGATCACATGGCCCTGAGATTCAGCAGCTGTCATAAATATATGCTGGTTGCCAAGCACCCCAATTTTAATCACATGACCATGGGGATGCTGCAATGGTTGTGTCAGAACCAGTTGCAAGTCACTTTTTTCGGTGCCATTGTAACTTTGAATAGTCACCAAACAAAAAGGTTGCAAATCAAGGACTAGTTGCAGTCATCCATGTAGCTTTATTACCAGCAATACAAGATTGATTTAGAATTGCTTTCTTCTAGGGTGATGGTTGGTCTAGGACTGGGCTCCCCAAACTTGGCAACTTTAAGATTTGTGGACTTTTTTTTTTTTTTAAACAAGTTTTATTAAAAATTTCAACAACAAACAAATCATTACATATTTAAATCTTTTCCTGTCTTTCTACAGAAATTTCCCCAATATTCTCATAAAACACAAACAAACACAAACAAACATAAAAAAATCTTTTAGTAAAGTACCTTGGCCCCAGTTACCTCTCTTTGCATGGGCAGCGCATATCACTCTTCACAATTCTATCTTATTTAATCCATCTTAATTAAATCATTATATTTATATCTTTTGCCCATTCATTATCCCTCTATCTCTTCTTATAATAAAAAGAATTTCTCCTGAAATCACTAATCAGAGTATGATGCCTTTCTATCCTTCCCCTAAGTTAGTAAAATTAACATTCAACATAACAAATACCCAATTCGGTTCTGCTTGGTACATTCTATCCACCAAAAATGTTTAAATACATTGTATCCTCCTTTCCTTCAATATTTTATTACATTTTAAAAATCAATCATTATTAAAGACTTCAACATTTTAATTTCTTATTAAATCTTAAACCATTCTAATTTACTATTTCAAATATAAATGTTACAATACCATCTTCTGTACCTAGCAGAATCTTTCTTACAGAAGTTTATATTTCATCCTTTGTCCCTAAAACAAATTCCTCTTCTCCCATCCAATTTTAAAACTTTGAGGCTTTTCTCCGCCTTTCCCCTTTCTTTCTTCCCCCACCAAATCTTCCTACCCCCCCTTCTTCTTCTAACCTCTGCCTTGCTGGGATCCCTTCTCTGTTGTGTTCCCTTTTTCTCTTGTTTGCTATCATTATATTTACTTTGCATCATATTTTTCTCTTTCTCAAATGTTTTTTTAGATCTTAAGTCCTTCATTTTCCTTGCTCTCTTCCTTCCTTCTTCCTTAGATAAGTTTTGGGATTCAATAAAGATGGCGTCTTCGTCTTTTCCTTGTTGTTGTTCTTCTGTTTCCATCTGTTTCATTGTCTGTTGGTAATTGACCAGCGCCATTTCTAGAAATAGAAAAGCTTTTTCCATACCATCTTTGCAGGCTGCTTTTGTTTGCTCATATTCATCCCTCAGGTCTTCAAAAGGGAAAGCCATTATAAATAAATCTTTTCTTTTCTTTATTCCTCTTTCTTCTTACACCAACCAAATATTCCGAGAGAAAGGTAAAACAATCCCAAAATCCACAATCCTCAATAAATCCAAGCAAGCCAAAATTCCCCCTTCCTCTTCCAGGGGTGGTATCAAACAAATAAAAAGAGAGTCCAAATCTATATTTTAAAGCCTTATTAAAATTATGTTTCTGTCCTCAAATCTTCAAGGCATCTCCTCCAACAAGATCCAGATTTATATATTTTCTTTATCCTCTCCCTTCTGGCTTAATTCCGTCGGGAGGGAGAGTAAACTTTCCTTTCAGCACCTCAAAATAGCCACTTTTTTTCTCTTGTGGAAAAAATCATCAAAAAACCATCTTTTCCAGGAATTAAATTAGATAAATCTCAAAGCCCTGGGTCGACCAAGAAGAACTTTCACTTTCAATAACTTTCTCTTCTTCCTCCTGCGCATACTTGCCCGGCTGCCGACTTCTTTGTGGCGGCCATTATGGACCGCCGCTGCACCGTCCTGGTAAAAGGGGGTTCTGCCGGCCAGGGAGGGGGTCTGCAACACCCCCAGACCCTTCCTCCGGATCCCCCTTACCTTCAGCTACCCCTGCAGGGCAGCCTTGCTCCGCACCCATCCGGATCGGAGCCCCAAAACGGCTAGCGCGGCAGGGATCGCGCAGCTTCGCGAATCCCTACCGCTCGCGAAGCCGACAAACCGGAAAACCAAGATTTGTGGACTTCAACTCCCAGAATTCTCCAGCCAGCTGTGGTTTTCTCTGCAAGTCTACCTTGTATTTTGTGGAGGTGTCCCTCACCCAAATAAAGCCAGTCAGTTGCCCTAAGTCAGAGGTGTCTAATCTTGGCAACTATAAGACGTGCGGACTTCAAGTCCCAGAATTCCGCAGCCAGCCATTAAAGTTACCGAGGTTGGACATCTCTGCTCTAAATGAGCAGGCTGTTCTCTTCTAGGCAAAATAACTATCTGTTCTGGCTCCCAAACCTATTAGTATTTTTAAAAAAGAGTCTTAGAATAAATGGAATCCCTCTTATGACTATGGTTAGGACCTTCACACCTGCAGGGTTGGTTCTGGAAAATATGCTTTTATTCTGATTTGTGTCCTACTGTTTCTTAGTGAACCACATAGGAACTCTACTCAGATATTCTGCATTAGTATTTTTGAAACTTGGCAACTTTAAAATGTGTGGACTTCAATTCTCAGAAGTGTCAGCATGTCAGTTCAGAAACATTGTTCTTCCTGCTCTCTTGCGGTTAAGGCCAAATACTGCCTCAGGTCTATCAAAATATTACATCTTCCATAACTCTTAAGAACATGTCTTACAATATTATAGAAGAACTTTCTACCAGGCCTCTTAAATGGACTGTTTGAAGGACACCTTTTGCATCTTAATATATATTGTGCAATTATGTTTATTCAATGGACAAATTCCTATATCTCTTTTTCTTTTTTTATAAATGTAGATGGAGTAAATAATTTATACTTCTAGATATTAACAGGTCTGTGAATCTGGACAGGAGTCCTCTAACCATTTTCATGCTAGCTATTTTTATTTTTCAATGGCAATAAGATCCTTCTGTTGTGTGGGAAGGTAGGGATACACTGAAGTATTTTTATGTACAGTTTTGAAATGTATTATTTTTCATAAACAATCATTAAAAGTATTTGTTTTTATATCAACTAAAATCAACCAAAGTAAGGCAGTTTGCATGGGACTTGTCTATGTGTGTGTGTGGAAAGGGAAAGACATTGAAATGCATTTATCACAACTTTCCTGAACTAAAACTCCAGGTTTCTTAATTGTTTTCTTTTTACAACAAGGACTAACATGATAAGCGATATAGGATAAAAGAACAAAAGCAAATAGAAACACAAGGTTAAAAAGAAATAAAATCCCAGCTCCAAACAAAAATCAATTAAAATAAGGATTGTCTTCAGAAGTTGTGGCTGTTCCATCACTACATACTTTTAAGAACAAACTGGACAACCATTTGTCTGGAATGGTATGGCTTTCCTGCTAGAAGACCTCCAAAATCCCTTCCAACTCTGTTAAACAAGGGGAAAAAATGCTGCATTCTCAAATCAAAATTTGCTATTGGTGGATTCCATTCATTGCAAAATATAGTACAGCTAACTTAAGGCACTGATTTAACCCAGGATAATAGATGGGCTAAAGTTATTGGACAAAGGCGGTTGCAGTGTTCTAATGAACTTATCTGGAAAATTGTTTGCTTGGGCGTAGAACAGTGGCGTTTGTTTCTTCCAGTAGCTTAGTTAATGATTTCCCAGAGTGATGTTTGTATTTCGTTTCTAGAAGAAAGCCATGTCATTGACTCTGTGTTTCAGTATGTTGTTGACATACATGTAGACATACACGTCTGTATTTAAAGCTCAGCTAGATCAGCCTGGAGCCTTTCTGAAATCGATTGGTATATGAAGACTTGACACATTTATTTTCAGATCCATGGAAATGGGTGATAATTAAATACAGCATAAGGGGATTTTTTTACTGCACTTTATACAGATTTAGTTGGCCGTCTTATAACAAACTCTGGGCGGTTCCCAACTGAAAATTAAAACCAAACACATAAATAAAAATGTGGTGCCAATCAAAGTTCTAATGTGCAATTATCTAGTCTCCTGGTGCTTGGAGGGGGGGAGTCAAATCTTCAAAGCCTCATGGAAAGTTAAAAGGGTGGAGGCTGGCTGAATGTTCCATAGGGCAGGGGCTGCCACAGAAGAGGCCACAGAAAAGGCAAGCATCCTAGCTCCCGTCTGATGACAGTATTTAGCAGAAAAAAATAGGAGGAGTGTGTGCCCACCCTATCTGGCCCTGTAGGACAGGTAGATGTTCTTTAGGGAAAGATGGTCTCGCAGATAACCTAGTCATGTAGGATTTTAAACACACAAATGCGCATACAATGTTAATGTTCCCATTGACAAACCCAACCAAAGCAAGCACGACCAAGACGATCCAATCT